TTTTATTTAAATATTCGATTTTCACATATATATATATATATATATATATATATATATATACTAATAAATAAATATATAAACTTTGTAATCCTATTTTGTCACTATTAAAATATTCCTGACATAATATGTAAATTTTTAAAGTGAATGTATCCTGTAGTATATTTATGAGATTACCTTACATAATCGTTGACAATTACTTAGAATTATCGATTATGTAATTTTGCTTGTGCCACGTATACGTTAACGTTGCGATATAACGAAGAGATATCGGTATTTGTGTGTTACAACGAAATATATTATTCATAATATCACAAAGTACACTTGGAATTTTGTTCAATAGTAAATTATCGTTCGGGCAATCTTACATAAATTAGTATGATCGCGGAAGTATCGAAAATAAAAAAGATTCTTCAATGTATATATAATTGATGTATTTAATTAAGTGTTTAAGTAACATTTGAATATTTAAGAATAAGAAAAACACAACGTCACACTTGATTTTATATATATATACATATATAAATTAAAAACTGATAAACAATCACTCGGGACTAATCAAGTTCAAGGTCTTCAGTGATAATTATTCACTGATCACGTCACACGTATCGTCATTACGCTTTCTCACTGACTGTTATTGTAAGAGCACCTGTCTTAAAACAACTGTGATCATTTCGTCTCGCATCCCATGTTGTGCACAAAAGGTGGGGTCCACTTCACGCTGCAAATGCTTCGAAGCGCTCGAAGAAAAAATATTATTGGTCTATATGGCGTTTCGAGTATTTGCAGCATGAAGTGGACCTTAGCAAAAGTTGCACATTGTTGGGCATAAAGTTAAATTCACACGTACGTGCAACTTCAGAGGGTTAAACGTGGTCTACAATAGGTGCGTTCCAACGATTAAGCTTAACGCTCGCAACTATTGCGAGCATTGTTCTGCCTTTGTTTAACATTCAACAGACACAAGGATAAAATGATGCTCGCGGTCGTTGCGAGCGTTAAGCGAAATGCACCTTAAGCCAGGGGCAAACCGTGCTTGTTTTCGTGCTGGATTGCTTATTGAATGGAAATACTACGTTCTGATTGGTGCATTTCCGCAAATGGATGATAATGCACTAATCAAAACACGGTATTTCCATCCAGCACGAAAACAAGCATCGTGTGCCGCTGGCTTAACATTTGTCAGTGGTGTTGGGACGATATAAGGCCGACAGGCAGCCCGCCATTAGAATTGAAGGAAAGAAAGAAGGAGTAATGGCGGGTTCGCGAAGTGATCTCATATAAATTAATGCTCACTTTGCATCGTTATTGTGCTGCATTTTCCGCAAGGAAACATATTCTGTCAGATAGCGTTTAATATCGATATATAATTATTGTAGAATGTAACGTGTAGAACAATCAGAATCTCATTTTATAGTATTAGCATTGTACAGGTTATATTATTGAGTTTTTTGTGTGACGTTTATTGGATTGTTGTTCCAAAAGTTTCACCTATATTTGCAGTCATAATATTTCGTCACATAGACGTTTTATATCAGTATTACTAAAGATTTTTACTTACACTTGCGGATTCTACTCCCGCCTACACATTGTATGGCATAAATAAAAAGTGCGCGTGTGTAAGATAAATCCCTCCTATAACCTATCGGTTTTACAAAAGTATTCGACCAAATCATCAGACAAAAGTACACCAATGACTAGGTAAGACAATTTATTCATTAGTAAAGAAATCTAATTAAAATATTAACGTGCATGTGACTGTTCTTGGCTTTTAAAGTTAATAAAAAATTTATATTTTGCAGTACACCCAAGTCGGTGAAAGAAGAGATAGTCGATATATCAGATGCAAAGGATAAATCATTAAATGACTCCTATTTTGATAATCGAAAAATAGCAACTAGAGATTTGGTGACAATAGATTCGATAATAAATCTTGTAAGTTTACAATTTTCTTTACTAACTACTCTAATAACACAGTATTGTTTATGTTAATGCTCAAGGTAATTATTTAGTTTAGCTAGATTTAGTTTAGCTAGATTTACATCAGCATAAATATTGATAAAATTATGCTTATTCGAAATTTAGTTTTTATTTCCTTCTCGAAACTGAAACCTTTTGCCTTATTAAAGTATGTGTGATGAGTTTATCTTATATTAAAATTGAAACATTGAAGATTAGCAAAGACCCTTACGCATCGGATAAGCGTAAAACCTGTATCAGACCACAGATTAGAGATTGAAATTGAATTGAAATTTGATTAATTAGTACAAAGTTCACTAAGTTTCACTAAACTTGAATTCAGTTAACTTTATATTGATTGGCCAAATTCAATCTCAATCCCCAATCCGTAATCTGATACGGGCTTAATTTCATCGATATTTGCTGATGTAGTTAAACTAAATAATTATGTTAAATTATAGGATAATTCAGATAGTTTCGAATCATGTGGAAGTCCACTGGAAGCACAGAAAAATAAAATTCATAATAAATCAGAACCATATTATGTTGAAAGTTCAATGGAAGAACGAGAGAGAATTGCAAGGGAATCCAGTTTTTCAAATCTATTGCATAATAGCACCGACTCTGCAAAATCTGTTATTCCTGAGTCTTCTGACAGTGAAGAACATAAGTAATGTATCAGAAGACGCTTGTGTTTAAATCGAAAACCGAATAAAGTATCAGTAGAAAAAGACATCAAACAAGTTAATGCATTAAAAGCTACAGAATTCCAGTACTGGTCGTTGCGCGTCTGAGTTTTAAGAAAATAACCAATCATGATTAAATATGAGAAGAATAGTTGATTGTGATTGACAAATTTTTTAAAGCTTAAGTCTTCAAGTACCTTTTGTAGAATGAGATTTGTCTGTATCATACTACGGATTATGGATTGGATTGAAATTTAACAATCAGAATAAAGAAAACCAACCTCAGGTTTAGTAAACTTTGTTCTGAGTGATTAAATTTCAATCCCAATCCTTGATCCGTAGTGTGACACGGGCTGTAAAGCCCGTCATTGGATCCTTAAGCAAATTCTATAATTTAATCATAAATTTAAAAAAATTAGACGTTAACGTAAAAAATATTCGTTCATTTATGAATGGTTAATAAATATATATTCGATTTTCTATTCATAACATTTTATTCGATATTTTCATATCAAATACCAAAAAAATATCGAATAGTCGATAACATTGAACATATCAATAATTATCTCTAGTTGTAACAGTGAATACGTTCTTCCTAGTAATGACATGCCGTTAGGAAAGAGCAAAGTAAACCCTGATGGTGTTGCCGATGTGATGGCAAAAAGTGTGGAAAACTATCTACTGACTCCTAAGAAACGTATCACTAATAAGGAACAGAAAAATTCCATAATTTCGGATTCTGATACTGATAGCCCTCGTTCGAAGCGCAATATTAAGTTATCGCCGAGAAAAGAATGGGTAGGGCCTGATATTCAATTGAATTTGAAAGATTTAGGTTTGAACAAGCAGTTAGACCCATGGATTCAATCTGTTCAAAAAAAACCAGCAATGTCTACCATACCTGTAAGTTTCATCTCATAAATTAATATTGATTATAACATAAAAGTATGTAAACCAAGTATTACCTTCTTTGTTTTTGTCTGTTGTGTTTAGATTACAAAGGATAAGTTGGTAGAAAGACGCGAAGATCTGAAGGATCTTCTAATAGAAGTTTTAAACAAATACTGTGTCGCGCTTGAATTGATCCCGTTACCTGTGTTGGAAAAATTTCCGAAATTTGACTCAGACAATTTCAAGAAGGTGCAAGGTTTGCATCGGCACGTGAAAGCTAAATTACGCCTGGTTCAGACGAAGCTATCACGTCTGGAAAAAGAAAATGAAGAAAGCAAATCTCCAGATGATTTTGCTGTATCATCAAAATCAACTGAGATAACAGCTACATGTGTGTCTGAAAGTCCTTTGACAAGTAATTATGATCATTTTAATACGTCGAGTCCATCGGTATCCAGAATGTTAGAATTCCCTCAAGAATCGTCCAGTCCAATAATGGAGTTACGTAAGAAAGAACATAACAGCAGCTTCGAATCGACACTAGCGAGTAAGCCTCCTGAAATCGCAGCCACTACTAAAAAAAGTACTTTCCAACTGAAAAGACCTGTTAAAGCAGTATTAAGTACTGATGTTTCTAAAACGATAGAAGAAATGTGGGAAAAGGACCGACGGATGTCCAAAACAATGAATTCTCCAATGGATTCTGAATGTGTCCCTAAAGATACGTTTAATAACGATATTAAAACTCCAAACAGCAATGAAAAAAATACACGTACTCAAAATAACATCAATGATAGTCTAAATAAATGGATCAGCACTAGTTATAATAACTTTCATGGTAAGCAGATAACAAATGACACACACACACACACACACACACACATGTATATAATAACATATAGATGTTAATGAGAAAATATTTTATAGGCAGCCATCAGACGTCTTCTACAAAAACTGAAACATTAACACAGCAAATAGAACAATTCCCAGCTCTGGGAGAAGATTGTAATATCGATATAGATGATAATTTTTCAGGTACACAATTCATACTTCGACATATTATTCGGTCATATTTATGTTCATAATTTGTCAATCATCAACCGTTCGTTCTGTAATTATAGATTTAGAGTCTAAAGTTCGTCATGCGCAAAGTAACAAAAGTGATATTAAGGAAAAATCAAAAGTCAAAAAATATAACATTGAAAGTGGAATATTTACCGGTAACTATAAAAACGATGGTGTTAGTGGAGAATTTGACGGTTTAACGTATCGACATTCGCAGGAATTGTCAAAGGTATACTCCTTATTTGCAATTTATTATACGAATATAATGGTGGATATTACATTATATGATATGCATAGGTAACGCATTAACAATGAAAAATAATGTGTATATTAATCATGTTTTCTTCTTTGTTTTAGATATTTCGTCAAAAGTTTGGATTATACATATTTAGGCCAAACCAATTACAAGCTATTAATGCAACACTTTTAGGATTTGACTGTTTTGTTTTGATGCCCACTGGAGGTGGCAAGTCTCTTTGCTACCAGTTACCTGCACTTATAAGTATCGGACTGACAATTGTTATTTCGCCATTAAAAAGTCTCATTTTAGACCAAGTTCAGAAACTTACCTCGCTCGACGTAAGAAAATGCTTATGTGTACATACCATATTTAAGTTGTCACATATGATATTTCTTAAATGGTTTTAAATTTTTCAGATTCCCGCAGCTCACTTATCTAGCACTTTAACGGACAATCAAGCGGAAGCAGTGTACAGAGAACTTTGCAAGAAAGAACCTGCTCTCAAAATATTATATGTAACGCCAGAAAAAATCTCCGCCTCACAGAAGTTTTGTAATACTCTGACTATCTTATACGAGAGGGAATTATTGGCGAGGTTTGTCATTGACGAAGCACACTGTGTCAGTCAGTGGGGCCACGATTTTAGGCCCGACTATAAGAAATTAAAGTGTCTCAGAGATAATTATCCTAAAGTACCAATAATGGCCCTAACGGCAACAGCTACACCGCGTGTTAGAACAGATATTTTATATCAACTGGGTATGACTAATCCAAAATGGTTCGTTCGATATATAAATTTATTTCTTGCGTTATATATATGTATGTGTGTGTGTGTGTGTATATATATATGGCTATATTTCTAGGTTTATGTCAAGTTTCAACAGGCCTAATTTAAGGTACAGCATAATTTCGAAGAAAGGAAAGAATTGTGTTGCCGAGGTTGTCGGTATGATAAATGAAAAATTCAGAAACGAATGCGGCATCGTATATTGCTTATCACGTAAAGACTGTGACGAATATGCTGCGCACTTGAAGGACAATGGCATCAAAGCATTAAGCTATCATGCCGGGTTAACCGATAACCAACGGAGCAATTGTCAAGGAAGATGGATTTCAGATGAAGTATATTTTATCCTATACAAATACTCTTTTCTTTTTTCTCTTTCCTTTCAATACTTTAATTTTAATACGCGTGCATGTGTGTGTATAAGTATGTCATTGTAACGTATTTACGTTATTCACGTAAATATATTTTTAGATACATGTGATATGCGCGACCATAGCGTTTGGTATGGGCATTGATAAGCCCAATGTGCGCTATGTCATACACGCTGCCCTGCCGAAGTCCATCGAGGGCTATTATCAAGAAAGCGGCCGCGCTGGACGTGACGGCGAGATCGCAAATTGCATTTTGTTCTACAATTATACGGACATGTATAGAATTCGGAAAATGATCGAACTGGATAATATGAATCCACAAGCCATTAGCACACACATGGATAATTTATACAAAATGGTGGCCTTTTGTGAGAACACCACGGATTGTCGTAGATCCTTGCAACTTAATTATTTCGGAGAAATATTTAACAGAGAGCAGTGTACCACAAACAAGGCAACTGCGTGTGATAACTGCAGAAGTAAAGTACGTTATTCGAGATAAATCATTATTACGATACACATATACGTTGTCATATTAGAGATTATCATTAATTGATGGGCAATTTTAGGAGGAGATTACAAAGTTAGACGTAACGGAAGATGCGAAGGCGATCATGAAGGCTGTGCGAGATATCACTAATAGAAAAACTTGCAACCTTACATTGGTACTTTTAACAGACATCTTCAAGGGATCTGATCTTAAAAAGATCAGAGAATCAGGTTTGGCATATTATATTCAGCATTAGAATTGGATCGGTACTTGTATCGTCGACGTGATCAAGGAATCTGTTGTAAACTGTAGGTCTTGCGCAACATCCATTGTACGGTCGCGGTAAACAGTGGAAAAGAGGCGATATTGAGCGTCTCTTACGTCATATGGTGCTAAAGGAATATCTACACGAAAGTATGTACATTAATAACGAGATAGCTTGTGCGTACGTAAAAATCGGACCAAAGGCAAGCGAGCTTATGACGAAAGACGACGTAAAGGTAAGTTACGGCAATATATCCTTTCAGTAGTAAAGGTCTTTTTACACGTAACAAATGTTCCAGTCGTAACCGTAATTTCGTCAAAAAATTAACCAAATCACGGTCGATTATTTCTCGAGCGCAAAAGGAATAATCAACTGCGACTGGTCACTTTTCTTCACGGATCTACGACTAGAAATGTCTTACGTGCAAAGGCGCCCTAATGTCTTGATCCGTGACCGAATTATTTCAGATACAAATCCCGATGAGATCGTCGGATAAATCTACAAGCGGTGTAGCTACAGTTTCGACAGTTACAAAGAAAGTGGACATTATTATAAAGGAATTGCAAGATCGTTGTTACGGCGAGTTAATGAGCATAATAAGAGGGATCGCCGGAGCTCTGGATGTATCTGCTTCTTCTATCATGAATATGGTAGCCGTCAGGGTTATGAGCCAACGTTTGCCGGAGACTGAAGAAGCGATGTTACAAATTCCGCACGTCACTAGGGCTAACTTTGTTAAATATGGGAAAGCTCTCTTAGACATTACACAGAAATACGCGGCAGAAAAAACTGGTATGTGAGGTAGATTGATGATATTGTTACACATCATATGAGATATTTTTTAAATATTATTCATCAATATTATTTCAACATTACTCATTATTCTGTCTCCCTCAGTATTGCTAAACGAGGGTAATGTAGAAGAAGAGGAAAGTGATGATGATGGAAGCACTTGGAATGACAACAGTTCTAATCTCTCCGGCAGCAGCAGTAACGCTCGCCGTGGCAGAAAGCGGAAAATTCGTAGTAACTCTAGAAGTACTAATAAAAGATACAAACGAGGTGGTTCAAGGTAATAACATATTGCTTTTTATGTAACATATACGTGCGTGTAAACTTGTGCTGATATTCTCCACAGTGGAAGAACACGTAAATATATATTGGATTGTTCGGAAAATTCCTCGCGTTCTTGACAGATTGGTATTACATACAAATTTCGCTGTGGATTTTCTGATCAACCAATATAAGAGATTATTGTCTACTTTATGTTAATCCATTGTTTGTTGTGCAATTTTACAGTGCATGGAGGGGAAGAGGCTCGGCAAGAGGCTCAAAAAGTACTACAGCGACGAAACACAATGCAACTACAAAGAAAGTGGTAGGGCTTGCTAGTTTCAGCCAAACGAAACATTATCGAGCAAATCCCAATAGATACATGGATATTGGTTAATTATTGCTTTTGATTTTTCTATAAATTATTTCTCGAGTTCGTGATGGTGTAACTTTGCATAAGCGTGAGAATAAAAGTATCTAAATTTCCCCCTCTGGCGCTTTAGTCATTTAATAGAATCGAATAATTTAGTATTTCTTATTGCCATATTTTTATAATTTGCAATCATTAAAACATGTATATAATACAACTTTTGTAATAAAGTATTTTTGTAATGTATACATCAATGATTTCTTTCTCAACATACAATTATAAATTTCAAAGATAGAATAATTGTTGAGATGATACCATATTTGTATCATTGTCTAATTATTTTATATGAACACATTAAAGAGATTAAGATTTTTCCAAATAAAGAGAATAATATTCTTTATTATTCCTAAACATATATACCTTTATTGAGGTAAATTTACATTTGAGACTAAATTATTTCACTAGTATATATGTGTTACATTACTTTTTAATTATTTTACTACGTAATGTACTATGTATATTTATAGATCTGGTTGTGTTACCCTAGCCTGTCGATCCTCATTCTGAGTATGTTTTTTCAATAAATCCATCACTTCGTTATCAAACTCAGGTGGGGTCGGTTTAACACCAGTTGCCCAATGGAATATATCCCAGTCATTTGATGGTAAATTTATAAGATGATCATACAATCTTAATTGTGTATCATTGAATGTATTTAAGTATTTTTTTGCAAATGTGCTTAAAAGTAGTCCGTTTTCCAACATTCCGCGCTTACGAGACTGATATGTCAATCTATAAATAATAGTAATTAGAATATAAAATTTATTGATTTTATGTTTTATTTTGTTTTTCAATAATGATTTAATAACGATATGATGTTATCTTCATTAGTAATGATAACAGTAATGTAGTTATATTTTTGGGCAACAGTAATTGTTATAATTGTTAGTTTGCATATGTATTATAATAGTTTTAGAAAGTAACGCGGTTACTTTTAAAAGTAACATGTTACTTCCTAACTCTGTAAAATATTACATGTAGATGTTACGGTATACGTGTAGATAGAAGGAAAAGATTTTAACGTCATGTAAAATCTTTCTTCTTTAACAACTTCGAAGAGCTGGACATCTAGACGTAATATTTTGCAGGTTTGAGAAATAACGCGTTACTCCCAACTCTGATGAAATATATATAACATAGTCTACAATGAACTACCATACTAGGAGTATGTTCATAAGAAGTAAGAATAAGAAATTGACCAATCATATTCGAATCTAAGGAGAACGATCGACTATGATTGATTAATTTCTTACTCTTATTTCTTATAAATATACTCCTACTGCTCATTGCTGTACGACATTATTATTAAGGAATTTTATTGGATCATCATCGGTTCCTTTTATGTCATACAAAAAAAAATCAATATACCGTGCTCTTTTGAGATCTGCATCTTCCCCATCACGCTCCACATAATATGGAATGCTGGGCTCCCGACCTTCCGGATGAATTAAATCTTGAAATTCATCTTTGCGTCTCCGACAACTTATCGATACACTTCTCGTGAGTAAGAGTGGCCTAACCTAAAACATCGTTTTGCGTCTTCATACCAGCCAGGAAATTTTATCTCAGTTCGCATATCTAATGTTTCTAAACTTACACACGATGTGACGCGAGTAGTTATAATATTCATGATCGTATAATCTCACACAGGCTCTTCGTGCATAATAACACAATCAGGTGATGTTTCGCTGGTGATCACACCATCACAACTGACAATCGACGGCCATCATCGGTTTTCAATGGACGCCGACAGCTATGACGGTCGTGATAAATTCAAATGATTATTTGTTTAAATCAGTCTCGTCACTGAAACTTGTTAAAATAATTCTAATAATGTGTTATTAGTTAAACATTTTATTTTGAATCGTCATTTAATATTTGTTTAAGGAAGCAGCGGATTACTCGGTTTCTGAATATTTTGCTTCTACAGCCGATGTGCTTGTAAAATGTCAAATTATAATAAAGAAAAACACGATAATCATTTAAACGATGGTAGATCAGAATATGCACACTCTAATGAATCATTGTTGTTGTTGGATAACACGTTATTGTGTAACATAGAAACTGATAGCAGATTGCATATTTCCACAACAGAAGTTTCTAAAAGAAACATTAAAACCAGTGGACCTACAATAGCTGTATCAACGACAACGGGAGGTGTATCTTCCAATTTAAACGACTGGCAAGAGAAGTCCCTGATGAATGAAGTATTTGCCCAGTTTGATTCACAAAATGAAGAAATTGTTCCTGATAATGTTGCCAGCTTCGATATATTTGACACATTTTGCAAAGAAGACACAAGCCCAAAACCAACCAATGTATATCAAGCTGAAAATACCAAAAAGACATCTTTAGATAAAGCGAATACAGCTAACATACATAAGGATGAATCGAACAATTTATCATGTTTATACATCACAAATTTTGATGATGATATTATGGAAGAAGGAGCTGTATGTTCCTCCAAACAAAATGATGATAAAGATAAATCACCAGTTATCCAGTCAAAAGTTAGGTCATTGAATAAATTTAATCTTCCAAAAAAGAAATTACGTTTAAATGATATTATACCGAAATTAGAAGATACAAAGAGCAAAGATACAAATTCTGCAGAATGTCCTATGTTTTATGGTTTACCAGATATTATAAAAAAATTGATTCAAGAAGCCAAGGGAATTTCTGAACTATATCGTACGTTTTCTATTACAAATTTCTCAATTGTAGTTTAATGTGTTCCTATAGAAGTATTAATTTTAATTATATTTTGCAGAATGGCAGGATGAATGTTTAAAGTTAGCAATTAGGACGAAGAAGAATTTAATTTATGCTTTGCCAACAAGTGGCGGCAAAACTTTAGTTGCAGAGATATTAATGTTCAGGGAAATTATATGCAACAAGAAAAATGCAATTTTTATACTCCCGTATGTAGCTCTGGTGCAAGAAAAGGTGAGACATTCTGAAATCAGTATATTGAAAGACACATATTTATTTAACTTAGTACATGTTTAACTAACTGAGTTTGTCAATTTATTCATACAAAATAGGTTCAATCAATGGCCATATTAGCGTTGAAGTTAGGTTTTCTAGTCGAAGAATATGCCAGTACAAGAGGACATTACCCACCAACCAAACGACGGAGGAAGAACAGCATTTACATATGTACCATAGAGAAAGCTTTGGGACTTGTGAATAGTTTAATAGAAACGAAACGCTTAGAGGAGGTAAGTATTAATAGTTTGTCACAATTACTGTATAGCAATAACGTAATGGATAAAGAAATATTTGTCGATTGAGCATGTAGATTGGCATTATAGTTGTGGACGAGTTACATCTACTTGGAGAGTCTGGAGGAAGAGGTGCCACTTTGGAGGGACTACTAACAAAAATAATGTTCTTCAATGGTGCAGTATATCATGATAACCAGATATTTTAGCAAAATACTACCTTAAGTAGTAATTATACCTTAAAAAAAGAAAAAAACAGTTTTTTTTTCTCTTTAAGAAGACTTATTTCCTATAGATACAATACGTTTGATCGGAATGAGCGCAACAATAGGCAATCTAAAGGAGATAGCGCAATTTCTCAATGCGGACACATATTCGCAAAATTTCCGGCCCGTTAAGATAACGGAATATGTGAAGTGCGAAAATTGTATGTGGGAGGTCAATTTGAATAGTGAGGAACTGCTGATAGAAACAAGCAGTAATGATTATAAGGTGATTCCATCAAGCTTTATTCCGTAAGATTATTAACCCTCGCTGAACGGTGCCTGGGTTCGAGTTGATGTAAATTATGTAATAATTCTGCTATAAAGTATCCAGATGACATAGCAGTATTAGATCCGGATAAAATTGGAATTATGGTGATGGAAGTGGCGCCGAACGACTCGTGTCTTATATTCTGCTCAAGTCGCAAAAATTGCGAGAATGTGGCTTTATTGTTAACCAAAGTCTTGCCCAAGTAAAATATTCCTTTTTTCATATTTATTTTAAATATTATCCCTGAGAAGGAATTGTACAGCGTCAAAATTACCATTGCAGAGGTTTAGGCAATCACAAAGTGGAGGAGAAAAAAATCTTGTTAAATGTACTCAAAACTGAGGAAGGATTGTGCCCCATTTTACGGAAGACTGTCCCTTTTGGTATAGCTTATCATCATTCTGGTCTAACATCCGAAGAACGGCGCTTGCTAGAGGACGCCTTCAGAGAAGGTACTCTATGCGTAATATGTTGCACATCGACTTTAGCGGCTGGTGTAAATTTGCCAGCGAGAAGGGTAATTCTTTCGAGTATCATGTGATTAATACGATTATATTGCAGTTGCTCATGATATGATCTTCTGTTAGGTAATACTACGAAGTCCTTATATCGGGAATCAGTTTTTGAACTTGAGTAGATACAAACAAATGATTGGTCGTGCTGGTCGCGCTGGCATGGGGGTTTTAGGAGAAAGTATACTCATTTGTAAAAAACCCGAGATCAGTAAGGTAAGGATTTTGTTTTATCAACGTATAATGTAGTTAACTTTCTTAAGAACCAAAGAATGATTTGTATCACAGGTGAAGGATCTCCTGATTTCTCAAATGGACGACTCTCTCAGTAGTTTGCACGTAGAGAACGATCGGGGGATCAATAATTTGATTCTAAGCGCGATACAATTGAATATGGCGACAACTAGATGTGAATTGCATAAATTGATGGCCGCAACTTTACTTAACATTCAACAGAATAAAATAGGCGTTAACTTGAAAACTATCACAGACGAGACGATAACGGCGTTACTGAAATGCGGAATGATAAAAGTTAAAAGTAAAGATAAAACCGGTAATCGTAACGTGACTATTGTCATTCCATCTCAAGAGTCTACGCGCACAGAGAAATCGTTAAAATTGGCTAAAAAAGGTGTAAAAACGGTCACGTTTACGGGTGAAACTGAATTCCAGCTTTGTGACTTGGGTCAAGCTGCAATGAAAGGTAAGAGCGGCAAACTATGATTATACCTACATTTGTTCTCTTCATGTTTTATATATATATATATATATATATATGTATGTTACAGGGCCGATCGATTTAAAAACTGCATATACTTTATACGAGGATTTAAAGAGTGCTCAAAAACATTTAATACTAATTGATAATCTTCATCTTTTGTATCTCGTCACACCTTATGACGTTATATCACAGATCACTCCCGTAGGCAGTATCTATTATGATGTGGTAATAATACAATATTTATAGTTTTATATAAAAGATATTACATATATACAAGTTTTTTTGTGCACGTATATCAATATTATATGTCTCATAACAACATTAAAGGTAATGACACTTACTGATAGTCAAATGCAAGTCGCCAGACTGCTGGGGATAACAGAAGCTGCGGCAAATAAAATACGTGATGGTATAACGCCCAAGGTAATAACTTATTTATATACGAAGTAATTTAATCAATATATATATATATATATATATATACTTCATTTATATATGACAAATTTTGGATTAGTCTGTCGAGAAGAGAGTGGTTGACAGATTTTATGTGACGTTGATAATACATGAATTGTGGAATCATCATTCGGTTTATTTCGTCGCCGAAAAGTATCAAGTTAATAGAGGCGTTATACAAAGTCTTTTGAATACAGTATCAATGTTTGCGTCTTCCGTAGTGAGATTTTGCCAGGTAAGTCGGTGAGATATAACTGTACCGATCGAAAGAAGATATCAATTATAATAGATATAAATCTATATAAATATAATAAATGTAATATTAATAAATTCATCTCTTTTTGTTCATAGGAACTGCCCGAGTTGTGGGCATTTACAGAGATGTTAGGTACATTTAGCAAAAGATTATCTTACTGTTGTCCGTCAGAGTTAGAAACATTAATGGAACTTCCATCAGTTAAGATAGTAAATATATTGCTGACTTTATGTATATCGTTATAGAGCAATACGTTACGCGTCGACACACACATAAATACTTCAATATGAAATTAAATTCATGTATCTATCTTATGGTAGGGTAGAGCACGTCAACTGTACAAAGCCGGTTACAAAACTTTACAATCTATAGCAAAGGCTAATCCGTGGGATTTAAAGGAACAGATTCCATACTTGAACAATAAAATAGTCGCACAAATTATCGCTGCAGCAAAAGTAAGTTATGGCACATATATGTTGATAAAAATATTACAATTTTATGTCTACATTTTATGTCTATATATAACTTTATTTTATGTATTAAATAAAATTAATTAATGCAGCTTCTCATATTACACAAAGTGGAAGATTTAAAAGATGAATGCGAAAATATTTTGGATGGTATAGATGTGAGCCAAATAGACGTTAAACTTTACAATTGAAAAACCTAGAATAAGTTTCATTAAACTCTTATCCGTTTTTTAAATCATTTCTTCCAAATGTACATACAAATGTACGATATATTTCTATAGTGAAACAACACATTCAGTGAGTACTTGTATATGTATACAATTATAATTATAATGGAGAAATATCAGATAAATTATATTTTTGTAAAAAATTACGCGCGCATTTTTAATATATGTATCTTAAAAATAGTAACACAGATGAGACAATTATTATTATTAAATATCCTTTTACAATTATAAATTGTGCCTAATGGAGCGATGTGTGTTTTGAAGAATAGCACATTGTTTAAGCAGGCACATACATTAATTAATCCAACGGTGTTTGATATATATACTTGTAAGGGATAGTAATATATCAAATATACCAATATAACATTAAATAATGTTATGGAACAATTTACTAGTATCATATTGTAAAAGTTTATAAATACATATATATATATACAAACTATTTATACGAGCTTTAAATTTTATTTTATTTTTTTATAAAATCATATCATCCGATGCAATAACGTTTTATCTTTTTTTATACAAACATGGTTTCAAGGTAATTGTCGGAAGAGTCTTTTTCTTCTTCATGCTTATATCTTCTTCTTTTTTAAAATCCATAAAATAAAATAAATCATGAGATAGGTCTTTCCACGTATTTTTAAAACCATAGCAGCCTAATAGTCTTATAAAATCTTCTACATCCTCGAATCTGCTTTCGACCTCGGCTATTTTTAAGATACCGCTAAATTTCAAATAACAGAGGCATTAGTACTTTGCATCATAATCATCGTTAGATCATTATTACTCACTTGGTTTTAAGTACTCTGTTAGCTTCTATTAAATAATCGTCGAGATTAGTTCCCATTAGGGAGAGGCAAAACACAACAACGTGCACGTTACTCATTAATAATGGAGTATGAGTGATGTCACAAGCTTTTACTCTGTCATTCATAGCAATGAAGTCAAATGAATGAACTTCATGAGGAATGGAAGCGGCAAGTTGTGCTTCGCCACATCCAAAATCAGCTATTACATTGTCGGTTGGCCTGCAATCATTCAAATGTGAAAAATGTTTGTGCAATATAAATTTACTTGTTTTAAAGAGAAAAAAGATAATGTACAAACATGTTTTTAATGGATGATATTATCACGTCCAATGGATTGATTGGCCATTGTTCAATCTGCTGTTTGTATCCATCGTGATAAGCTTTAAAAGCATCTGGATCTTCATTGAAATATTGCTTGGATTGTGAGCTATCGCTGCTGTATAATGTTTCATTTATGAATCTGAATCTAGATGCACTTAATTGAGCCATCATTCTATCTCTCAACGTGAGAGGCTGCTGCTTTTTTATCTTTCGCTCAGTTTGCATGGTTTGTGTCTTCCTGCTAAGTATTTCTTCTAATCGTTTGAGTTTTATCTCATGATTGTTCAATTTTAACGTTTTTCCAGATTTTACTCGCTGTGTTTTTTTACTAGCGGATATCTGTTTCATTTTCTCTTGATTTTTTACTTTTAGATTCTGGATTCCTGTTTTATTTTGCTCACAGTTAATTGTTTTCTTGGGAACCTTTGGTTTATTTTTAATATTTTCGATCGTACGGGCAGTTTCTGCAACATTATTGGCCTGATTAGAATCAGAGAAAAACCCGTGGCTATCTCAGTTTTTCCGGGAACGCACTTTTCAATATAATTCCTGACAAAATGTGTATAAACTACGTCTGTTACACATACTTTCCAGTGGTAAAGTCGCTTGATTCTTACATATATAAGTTCCCTAAGAAAAATTGAGCCATTTTTTCCAATAATGCTTAATGAAAAGTAGTAATTATTAAATTATATATAACTGTTGAAACACATTCTTCCTGTTCGTATTTTAACAAAATGTTACGCCATCTCACAATTATGGACGCATTGTATGTGTCATTTAAACAAATGCTTCTCAAAATACTTAGTAACACAATATACTATGGAGTCTACTTAATTGGAAAATGTGATAGCAAAATTGTTAGAAGCGGTTGAAAAGATTTGTCAAATTAAACAGCTAATTTTAGAGTTACACTTTGTCAGAGAGCATATCAAAAAGTGCGTTTCCTGAAAAACTAGTTGCTCTCAGGTTTTTCTCTATTAGAAATTATGTTCTGTTTCTGTCTTTTGCCTTTCTTTCTGTATTTCTTCTTATTATCGATGTTAGTAGGTTGTATTCTTTAAGGTCAGAACTACAATGGGTGTAAGCCTTTAGCCTTTTGCTCTAAGAAATAAAATATAATGTAATTTCTGGAAAAGGTTCTCGTACTGCCAAAAGTCATAAAGCTCTAATCTTAGGAATTGTGATGTTTGACAGCATTGGAAATGCTTTTTGCTAGAAATTACATTAAAATTTAGTACTTGGAGCAAAAGAATAAAAATTTACCACACTATTGTAGACTCAGATAAATCTCTTGTTAAAAAGTCCAGTCCTTTTATATTTTGAACAGTATGAGCATATGTAGAATCATGTTTTCTTTCTCTTGTTATTATTTTGTTTGTCCGTGAGTATATCTTTGTATATTTCATAAAATATTCGTTTCTTCAAGTTATTTTTGAATATATTACATCTGATTTCTTATTACCTTTTCGTTTCTTCTGTTTCTAAATTAAAGCAGGAAACAATTTTTATTTTGAAATAATACAGATAGTTTTACTGAAAAATGTTATATTTGTTAAAAATTGCTTAAAATAATTACCTTCGAGACAGATGGTGCGTTTTTTAATGCAAGCGTCTTTCTATTTTGCGGAACAGCTTTGGCTTTACCCATTGTTTATTTCTAGTAAGAATGAAAGAAGTAAATAAACATAACCTCTTTTTAACTTCCGATTATACCCTCTACACGTGTGAAGATGCCACTACTGGTCGTTACAATAGGTCTGTTCGTATTCGCTGCACCGCTGAACTAGAACTATAAGTTGAAGAGAGACAAGTATATGTTTTCTCACTTCAACTTATTGCACTAGTTCGGCGGTGCAGCGAAAACGAACAGACCTATAATGAGCGTCGAGCACTGCACAGAAAATTGACGCAGAATTCGTTTGCGCAGGAATCTAAAGGGCAGTCTACACTGCTTCATTGCCAGTTATGAAGGGTAGTAACTAGAACTGCATGGAGCATCGTATAACTGAGATCAAGTGTGACACGAGTCTCTCGATATTAACGATATAGGATAACACACCGACTGTGCGAAGCAGCCGGTAACATACGCTTGATCGAATTGTTCTTCGCTGCCGATAAGGTGGCGCCAGCATCGCGTCGCGCTTGTCGGGGGAAGGCGAGCGCAGGCCAACGGCGGTTACTTTTCTCAGTAAACAATATGGCCGGTGCGGTTCGGTGCGTGGGTAATGTCGTCCTCGTTGTCGTCCTCGTTGTCGTCCCCGTGTCCGCTGAGTGCCGTGCTCCATGCTGCGAGCGGGACTAGCCGTGCAAGGTAAGTGCCTGCGAGATATAAATCGAGACGTCCAGGTCGCGTTCAGCGACACTCGCGCTCTGTGTGTGCGCGCGCGTGAGAGAGAAAGAGAAAGATAGAGAGAGAGAGAGAGAGAGACCGTCAACGACCGAACGTGATAGAACATGTTCGCTCGATCTCTGTTGAAAAAAACGTCACTTTAACATTTCGCGACGCGCTTTCACGCTTCCCGCGAACACAACCGGTCGTTCCGCGCCGTCGTTCGTCGTCGCGGTGTTAACAGGTGTCGAGGCGCGCCCGCATCGCGTTCGAGAGAGAGAGAGAAAGAGAGTGAGCGAGTAAAAGCGGCACCGACGTCACGGGCCACATGCACGCAAGCGAGCGAGCGAGCTTTCCGCGAATTCTCGACGACGCTCTATATTAACGTTCACCTTTCTCGCCCGGCGTGTTTTGCGAATTTGGCCCGGACGAGCGTCTCGTTTTTTGCGCCGCCTGCGCGCGAGGGACGCGCGCGCGCGGCTACTCGTGGCCGCTGAAGCAACAGGTTTTTTCCTGTCGAGAAACCGTCTGCGGTGACGACCTCTCTCTCTCTTTCTCTGTTTCTCCGCTCTTTCCTCTCATCTCTTCTTCTCCTCCTCGTTTCTGCCACGAGATCTGCGTCGTCGTCGGAATCGCGATCTCGAACGCGTATCCCCGACGATGGTACGATAGTCAGGATACCAACAGGTCTGTTTGATTACGCGTGCAAAAAGCGCAATCGATCGGCCTTAAAAGACAAGTCGCACCTTGCAACGATAAAAAGTGGATCGAGCGAGGTAACGAGTGTATTTACCGAGGGAAACGTTCGATAATTTTATCCGACGGTGATCTTCAATTATGCGAATTTACGTGGCATCAGTTCGCGCCACGTGCGTTGGCAAGGCACGGTAAAGGTTCGCGTTTATCTCGACGTGTCTAACCCGTATCACGACACGGTATATCGCCTTCCTCTCACTTTCGTCCCGTCTTTTTTCTTCTCCAAACTAAATGTTATCGCCATGCTTTCGCTATTTTTATATCCGCTTCGCACGTGGCGAGCTCAGATACTAATCACACTCAGATTGCTGATGTAAGGATTGAATATTGACTCGCGCGGCGTTTACACGCACGGAGAAAAGGAATTAGCCGTTCGTGTAGCGTCGCTGACATTTAGTTACTAGACTTAGTTTTTAGCCGTGGGAGCTGAAAGCAAAATATAGGGACAAAGAGAACGAGATAAATTCCTAAATCTCAGTTGCATCATACGGACAGCTAACTTTTCTCTTCGGGAGTTACATGGAAAAAAGAGAGAGAGAGTTTGGTCGAACTTACTGGACGGTACAAACTGAACGCCGTTTGATCGAAAGGAACAGAATTTCCGGTTGTAAGAAACAAATTTGGGAACCGGAAATTCCGTTCTCTTCGATCAAAACGCGCTTGGTTTATTATTATTTATCCAACTTGTCTGGTAAATTCAACCGAATTCTTCTTCCGTGTAGTTTTTCGCTTTAGCGTGAGCTTGTGTTTTTCCATGCTTGTTAACACGTGGATATTCCGCGACGATCCCGGACGTGATGCGGGATCTTCGCGAATGACTGCGGGCGATTTAGCGACGAGTGAAAAATACGCACGCTATCCTCGAAGAGGAGGAACGCTTCGCGGCGCGAGGAATGGCGGAGATCGGCAAGAATTTCAAGGTGCCTATCGCGCGCGAAAAGTCATCATGACGCAAGACACGCTGACCTCAAATTTCGCGCGGCGCACCGCACGTGCGCTTTCGCTTCATTAACCACTTTCCGTGCGAGTTTAAAGGGTCGCGGCGAGATGTAAGAGTGAGATGGCAAAAACGAGGATTTAATATGGAGGACTCCTCGAGACACGCGCGCAAAGTTTTGCAAAGAAATAATGCCTTCTGTAATTGAAGTTTTTACTTGGGATTATTTACATATATATATATATATATATATATTGCGGTTTCTTACGAATTTTGCGCGAAATCGCGCGGTTGAGAACGTCTCTCCATGCATTTCTCTTCGCGACGCTTCCCGGTGAGAAACGTATGCGAAGCATTGTATTTTTCATGCACGCGTTTTAAGCCTGATCAACGTGCTCTCGGCGTCTTGTTTACTGTTCTCTATCTCTTCTCCACAAGAAAATAGAAGTTTTTGTAGAAGAAAGATAGAGAGCAAGAAACAAGACGCAAAGAGTAGCATTGTAGACCAAACCACTTTACAGCCCACGTGGAGAAACATTGCGCAGACACGACGCGCAATTTGCCCCGAGTCCGTGACCGAGTATTTGTTTCTCTCTCTCTCTCTCTCTCTCTCTCTCCTCTCTCTCTTTGTTTTCTCTTCTTTAATTGCAGAGATAATAAATGCGGCGCTGCAATGCACCGTGGTTGTGTCCCTCTCCGTGTTCTCCTTTCTTTTATTTATGCACTCGCGATATATTTACGCATCTCCGATTTTTGCCGGTTAAAAAATTGTAGGCATCGTACCGATATTTTGGCAAAATAGGAAGAACATAGAAATATGGCACGATTCACATTTGCAGAAAATTTTACTGATGAAAAATTATTGGATAGACTCTCACGAGTGGAAATTGCAAAGGATAATGGGTAAAATATACCGTTTCTTTTGCCACTCCGGGGGGGTCAAGATCGGCCCATTTTACCCATTTCGTCCCTTCGATTAATTTTCATCGTCTAAATACGCTGAATGAAATTTTCGTCTGTTAACTGTGATTCCGTAAGCTCGCATGAATTTGCCGAATTTTGCCCTCCGAAATTCTGAGTTTTCGTGCTCGCATTATTTCCTTCCAAAACGCGGAGGAAGAATATCCTTTCCTGATTTCTCGAGGAACAGTCGCGTCGCGTTTTCCATGTCGCGCCGTTGCCGTTCGCTCGCTCGCGAATGACGTAAGTTGACACATCGCGACTCCTCGTTGCGCTCGTCTGCCGGTTAGTTAATGTTCGGGCCAATGCTAAGGATCCCCATTGATTGGGGCCACAAAAGGCAAGTGTCGCGCCGACACCCTTTAGCCCAAACAAATTGATAAATCGCGAACGGCGGATTCGCGTATGCATTCTATCAAACGATGCTATTGATATCTCTTTCGCTTCCAAGTATCGAACACGTGACGCCGTATATCAATATATTGATACTATACTATATATTGAGATATTTTTGCTGGGGACTTACAAGGACTTACAAGCTTGGGAGACTTTGGCTGTAACAATAACTAGATAATAAAACTACTAGTCAGTTTCTGACCGGTTCCTAGTAAGATCTTGAGCATTTCATTTGTTTACTACTTCATTTGTTCATTATTTTGCCGAGCTTCTGGCCAGGAAATGACCAAGAAACACTAGCCAGTATCTTAAGAATTTTCACCGGATAGAAACTGTCCAGTATTAACTTACTATTTTTTTCGAAATAGTTTATGGCAAGTAACTGGCTCAGAAATAACAGTTAATATTTTTATAAACAGTTTCTGAATAATTACTGCCTAATTAATTTAAACCAGTGGAAACTGTCCAGTTTCTGCGTAGTGACTAGTTTTCCCCTAACATTTTTCTACTCGGATAGTTCGATCTCGGGCGTTCCCATGATTTCCGCTGAAACTTCGGCGAGATCAATCTCGCGGCTGCTCGTGCGTAAACGGACGCGTCGAGCGTAGCGTAGAATTGCGTGTAAATTGGAGTATAACTCGCGCGGAAATTGCCGCATGCTGACATCTTCGCGGTTTCTGTCGCATTCGCGGCAATCGCTCTGACCGAGATCGTAATTTCCGATTGACGTGGGAAATTAATGACACGTACCATCGAGATGCGAGAACGTGTGTGAACGCGATCGACTGTAACGAATGTCGCGCTCTTTTCACGAGAAACTAGCTGGTTAGAGAATTATTGGTCAGTCGCTGGCTAGAAACTGATTTAATTGTTATAATTAATAACTATTTAAAGTACGGAAACCGGATAAGATTCCTGGAAGGCTCCGATGAGTTTCCTCGCGCTTCCGCGGGTGAAGTACTTAATTTGGTTTTCGCGTTAGCGCCGCTGCGTCCTACGTCGACTCGTTTCCGATGTTTCGCGAACATTCAATTGGAAAGTTTCGTTCTTCGCCCAGAAGATGCGAACTGAAATATTCACGAAACGTCGATAAACGAGTACATGAAGGACGCGGCGCTAGCCGAATTAAGTATTTTCGGGAGCTCTTGCGCAAAGTGTGGGAATTCGGGGTGGTGTTTCCTCCTTTACGGTGCGTTTCGCGCGCGCCTCTCTCGGTGTTCCGAAATCTGAAAGTGTCCTCGATCCGTTTCGAGCCGAAATCCTTTCCCCGACGAGACCGACCGACTAACCGGAGTTTGTGCGTTTCGACCTCGTCGTTGGTGGCGTGTCACGTGCGCCGTTTTCGCTAAGCCGAGGGATCTGTCTCGTGATTATGCAAATGTCTTGTTCTTGTCGGTGCGCTCGCGAGTAGCACAATAGATAAATGCCGGTGTCTTTTCTCGCGAACC